TAACCATCACACAGAGGAAGATATAACCAGAAGCCCTGGGAACCAGAGGCAAGGCAGACTAGATAGATTGTTACATGTGCACATAGGCCATTAGAATCTGGAAAAATTGAAGGCATTTGTCAGATGACTAGATAAAAGCCATAAGTCCTAGGAATCTCCTAATTTTGAGACAAATTGTGATGTCATCCTGATCTTTCTTTATATAATCAGTATGACACAATGACAATAACAGAACTCCCTCAAGTGGGAGCCTGAAGACCTGATGAAATCTCACTTTTGAGATGTCACTAGCCAAGGTGATCTTGGGCAAGTGATCAAGCCCCTGGGGTCCTCGAACCTTGCCTGTAAAATTGGCAAGTTTGATAATAAACCCGAGTTAAATTTTTGCAGAAGAAATTCAAAAGTGCATGCACTACTAAAAGCAAAGTGCTTAGACTGAACTTGACTGCATATGAAATCACTTGGAGGGATATTTAAAAAAATACTGCTTCCTTAGCCAAAACTCCAGAAGATTCTAATTCAATTTACGTGAAACCTGGGATTTGAAATTTTAGAAATTAAAATTAAAAAAAAAAACTACTTTGGATATTTCTAAGTTTATCCAGTGTAGAGAACCACTTGCCAAAGGTATTCAAATACGTTTTTGTTCATTTGTGATTTTAAAGACCACTGTGGTCTGTGGAAAGAAGTCTGTGAGATTCTAGATTGATTGTCTTTTTGGCATCTTTTAGTTTTAAAACTATTTTCTTCCGCTACAGCAACGAATGCAGTTGCTTCCACTGGTTAGGCCCATAGGTGTAATTGGTGAAGTGAGGTATTCTGGACTGAGGAAGTGATGGCGGGGAAGGATAGCACAAATCTTCAAGGTCACAGAAGGAAACCCAACTCTTACCCTGCAGATTTTTCCTTAAGGGAGAAATAACAGGAAAAACTTCAATAACAGAGAAAGGGATTTAGTCATGATTTTCAAAAATATCCTTTACATTTATGCATCATTGTATTAGTAGAGTAGGTTCCTTTCTTATTTATTTATTTTTTTGCACTGTTTTTAGGGTTGGACTGGTTTAGAATAGTGTTTTCCAATGCGTGTACTGCAGCGTACAGGATTTTTATAATCTTCATTTTATAAAAGAGTTCTCAAACTCTGTTTGACCAAAGAAGTTACAATGGAGTAATGTTCCATGGAATCATACTTTGAGAATTATTGCCTTCGGGTATTTAAACTAAGAAGGGCTTAACATTCACAATTTACTATAACTCTCTTTGGTCACACTGCTATTAATTTAGCTTCTTTCATCATAAGTACATGTACCAGGATGCTCTGGTTATCTATATAAATAAGAAAAGAGCCCGTTAAACTGGTTAGTGAAAATAATCTTGGCTTTGGGGATATAGAAAACTTGCATTCCAGTTCTGCCATCGAGTAAATAGAGTAAATATGTGATTTGGGACAAGTAACATAATTTAAATAATTAGAGCTTTACTTTAACTCATCTACAAAATAGAGATAACATGTTTATAAGGCACATTGTTAAGTTTGACATGAGATAATGTATATAAAAACATGTCAGATTGTGAACATTGTAAAATGCAAAATATAATTATCACATATGATTAAAGTGCATTTTTAATGTTAGTTTTCAACTATGACATAAAGTTTATGTAAATATAGAAACTCTCTGGAACTTAGATAACAAGGCCTTTTCTTTTGGATATTTTTAGTGTAAACTATAAGGAAAGCACAGTTATCTACAGTGTACTAGAAATAAACTTTCATATCTCAACACTATTGTTATTACAACTTTTTTCTTCTCTCTTGATTGCCCAATCACTAAAGAGCAGTGATCTTCCCAGATAAAAGTCAGTCATATGCAACTCATACAGTTTCTCTTTGCCAGACTAGAAAAAGGAAAGAGTAATCTGTCTGGTAAAACAGGTTTATACAGCTAAAAGAATAATGGATTCTCAGCTGACTTTATCAATGGAAAAGACTGTTAAGGAGAGCACTGTTAAGAAATATAGAATAATTTGTATTGTAAGTACAAGTTTATTTAAGTTTTATTTTTATTTTACTTTATTGTAAGTACAGTTCTTTTAGTCTTTCTAGTTTTGTGACAAATGTTAAATATATGACTCCCTACTTATATTTGTGTTACTATTTAAATGTAAAGTTTCAAGTAATTGTGTTCAGTTTTATCCTTTGTGATAACTTTAATGTTAATATTTTACCGATATTTTATAAATAAAAAAATTTGAGTAACTACAAACGAACCTTTGATCAATCTAAAAAGTTGGGAACTGTGGGAGAACAATTTGCAGCATTTATTTTAGCATGATTATAATTACTTCCCAAGTCACCTTTTCATTGCGTGAATATTTTAAGATCAGAGAGTGAGAAATTCAAATGACTGTATTTTACATTCTTTGTTGGACTACTGATTTTATCCTATTTTACTTCACTCCTAGAGATGGTCTCTTTTGCCTATTTTCTCTTTCTTGTTCTTATATGGTAAGATCGTCCTTGTTTGAAAAAAAAAAAAAGTTTTCTTGATTTTTACCATCAGACTTTCAGGAAAAGGGCATCTCTCCTTATTGCGTTGGTTTTTTTTTTGCCACCCAACCATTCCCTGTCTAGTTTTGTTTTTACTGTACTGAAGTGACCCTCTTGGAAGCCAGTCTTCCACCTGTCCTTTTCTTGAGTCTCCATAACAAACAATACATGAATAATGCTGAGTATTTTCTCACTTTGAATTATTCTCTCCTTTTGTTTCCAAAATTGCATTAAAATTCCCATTGTTATGACTTTTCTTGTTATCTGCATTCTCTTGGTTGATTTATCTTTCTTTCCAAAAGATAAATATCTTCTACCAAATCTCATGTAAAGATATTTCCTTTAGATAATCTCATCTTCTTTCATGGTTTTAAGAGTCATATCAAAAACTCCAAATATGCCCCTAGCTCTGATCTCTCCTTGAGTTTCTGTCACATAATTTCAAGTGCCTGCTTGCTGGCTCCTCATACAGTACCTCAAGCCAAAACCAACTGAATGATTTTTTCATACCTATTCTGCCGCCGTTTTCTCCTAAATCCCCTACTTTAGTTAATGTCACCACCATTTTCTCACTCAAGCATTGTTTCAAGGAATAAATGAAACAATATGTGTAAGGGTTGAGCCCAGTGACTATAACAAAGTAAATGCTCAAGATATTCTATTTGTTTATAATCCTTCTAAGAACTTTGGAGCAACTCTGTTAGCTTTTATGCCATTTATTATATTTATCCTCTTATAAACTCAGGAAATCATAAACTCCTTGGGAGCGAAACTCATGCATCATTTATTTCCCTTCTTTGTATCCTTCTAGTGGTTTACTAGTACATATAATAGAAGTTCAATATTTCAAAATCACATTTTAAAATATTTCAAAGGTACCCTTATGTTTCCAGATTTTAATGTTTCATTTAAAAATTTTAAAGCACTTTACATTCAGTCAAGCTAAAGCCAAATGGTGAATTCTCAGTGATTTTCAAAGTCCAGAACTCTCTCCTCTCCACTTTGTAGATTAGATAGTTTAAGATATATATGCACCTCAATATCAAGCAGCTTATTCAAAATTACATATTTAGAATGAATAATTATATGAGATTAAAAACAAACCTTAACTATGAAGGAGCTTACAGAATAATGCAGAGAGCAAGCCATAAATAAGTACAAAGTCAGCTAGATGTTTATTTCTCCAGCAAGCTTGAATTGCCAAGGACTAAAGATAAGATGTACACGGAAATATGTCAGTTTGTAAATTTATGATGCATGAGGTTTATGGTAGGAAAGTTTCCCAGTGTTTTGTTTCTTTGTAGAATTCCTAGTCTTGGTCACCAGTGACTTTTAATAATCATAAGGAATGCGAATGCTGTTATTTAATAACGGTTTCTGTTCACCTTTCCTTTTCCATCTCTGCACTGAATCAATACCTGCTGGAAGGTCATTGACCCTTGGGTGACCTTTGAGACTTCATATGAGAATTGTTTTCATAGTATTTTAACATATTTTCCTAATTGTTGAATTCACTTCTATTATAAAAGTCAGATATGTTAATTTTTCAGTTGATTTTCAGAGTGAAAACAAAAAAAATCAGCATTTTATATAGGTCTTTATTATCTGAGCAAATTTAATGCTGTATTTTTTTCTTCATGAAAGTGATTTAAAAAACTATAGCAAAAGTTATTGGTACTATAAAATACTTTTCTAAGTAATTCATGTGTCTGTTGCATTCATATTCTTTATGGTAACATATATTATTCAAGCTCTCTCATCCAGCATGCTTGTCAATAGACTTAATGGATGGGGAAAGAGGTGAGTGGGAAGAATTCTCTTTAATTATATCACAGTTTAATTCTAATCGTCCATTATACTGAGGAGCTTTGTCAACAGTAGTGATATGATACTAAATGACACATGATCTTTGGTCACACAGCTTCCAAGCTGTCCTAATTCATTTGTTTGAGTGTAGAGCAAAGCAGAACATCTGCTAGTTAATTATTTGAACACTATAGTTTTGTGTATGTTAAACATTGTCCTCTGATGGACAGAATGGGGGAAAAATACCCTGCAGGCTGTAATGAGGTAGTTAACAATTTCACAGTTTTTGATAGGCTTTTAGATAAATGATCTCCAAACAGGTGTCTAGTTAAGAAAGGAAAAAGGGCAAAGGTAAATGATTCCCATAGTTTCATGGGTTTAATTCAATCTGAGGTTAAGCTAGCTGGAACTAATGTATTTAAATTTGAAGATCTGTAATAAATGGTATTTTAAAATGCTTCCCAAACCTTTCTTAATTTTTGTCATTAAATAAAATTATATACCTCTATCATCGTTGGATCTGGTATCATGTATAACCAACACACTGTGTGCCCTTCATATTCACTGAGGGAGGGTGGTTATCTGGATTTTTGTGTATATATATATTTAATTGTAAAGGTTACTTTTCTTTTTTCTGTAATAGGTTCTTCTTGTTTTGTTGGTGTTGGTGACTCTCGGATTAGGCCTGCAGCTTGGACTCAGAAAACTAGATGAGCAAGGTATACCCCTCAGTGTTTTCTCAACATTTGCCAATTTCTTCTTTCTCCTCCCCTTCACCCCCTCTCCCCTGAGTCTCCTCTCTTCTACATGTAGCACCCTCCTACTAGCTTCTCTTTCTCTCAACTCCTTATCGGGAACCCACATCTGTGATTAGTATTATTTGCTGTCATTTATGGACTTTACTTTTTGCCCTCATCCCCCAGCTCTTTTCAGAGTCATGGCATTTCTATTGTGGCACGATCAATTCTAAGACCCACGGAGCCGACTGAGGTGAATTATGAGGCTTTATTAGCTGGCCGGGACAGACTCTACCACGCAGAGTTTAAGATCAGCCCCGAGCTCGCAAAAGAGGCAGTTTATAAAACCTAGAACCACACCCTGGTTTAACATCAAACAAGCAAACAGATTAACCCTAGTTAACATCAAACAAGAAAGCAGATTACAGAAGCAGAAGTTGGCCCTTAGCATATCTTTGCCCAGAACCACATCCTTAACATTTCCAATATTTTCCTCTTACTTTTCCTTAATTTCATAAAGGACTTTGATAACAGGACCAAAGACTCCTGACCCAGTTTCCACTCTAATCTTTAATGTCCACTAATAAATTTGGCCTTGAAAGTCTTCATTGCTCCCTTCCCAGGACCTCCTGCCATTTTTCCTGCATCTTGATATCATGTGAGTATTGTTCCATCCCTGAAACCTCATAATTTCTTGGTTAGGCAGTGCCACATTCTTGAAGTGAGGTGCAAAATAAAAGTTTCACATTTTTTTCTTTTTTCTCATAAGAAGCAAAGGAAAAAATAGAAGATATATGCCCCCAAATATCAAAACACCTCACATCTCTTTTGCCATATCTCACTAGTTTGAACAGAAAATAAACCATTTGCAAAGATTATATAAAAAGCACTTTTTATAATCTTGTTTTGTATTATTTTGGTACTTTTATTAAGGAGAAGAATGAGTCAAATGTTAGATAATTTATCTCCTTTTTCAATTTGGCTGATTAACTTCTAATTTGACTCCAGGAGGAAAAGTCTTATCAGTTCTTCGTTAAGGACACTCTTGGTGAGCTTAACTGACAATTTTCCAATTATGTTTTCACTTAAGAATGAATAAACACTAAGTACCCCTTAGCGTAACATGGAAACACAGTGGAACCAAAAAGACGGACATTACCTGCAAAGTTACTGTCCTGTCTTGGTCACTTGGTTGTTTTGTTTCTGAACTACAGTAACAGTCCTAGATCTGACAAATACTGGCAGGTCATTTTTGTGGTATTATTCTATGTTAGTGCCCACAGGTGGGCATCATTTCTTGGGTATTTTGTCCCACAAATCATAATTTAATAGCAAGAAGCTTATACTAATATTTGAATAAAATCTCCAGCTCTTTCACCTTCTTCCTCCTTTGAGTCCTACACCTACTGGCTGGCTTCCCAGAGGTATTGTCCTCATTTTCTTCCTTTTATCTTGGTCTATCAGCCCTTATCTGGCATCACTTTCTTCTGCCTTCTACCCAGGGCATTGGTATTTAACTCCAGCCCTTATTTGCCAGTATCTTTAACATTTTCATCCCCTCAACTTTTATCTAATCCCCAACCCTAGACCATTTTTACCATTCTCTGCATCAATTAACTCATTTTTTTATAGGCAATGTATTTTTTCTAGTGTGAGTACTTAAACCAGTTTTTCTATTTGAGTTCTTACAATTTTATTGTTTTATGTACAGATACTTTTTTACTTATTCTTTAACAATTGAGCACCAACCATGTGCTAGTACTATTCCAATTACTGGGATACAGTGGTGAAGAAAACAGACAAACAGAAAAAATCCTTCAGGATTTACATTCTAGCAGGAAAGACAGACAATAAAAATATAAATAAGTAAATATATATATATATATAGTGACAGGGAAAAGTGCTAAGGAATAAGTAAAACTGAAAAAGGAAATATGAATTATTGAGTCAGGATGGAGTGGAGTGTATGTGTGAAATAACTTTTGCGTAAAGAACTAAAGGAAGTAAGGGAGGAAGAGGGATATTTTGGAAATGAACATTCCATCCAAGAGGAAATAGCAAGTGCAAAGGTCTAGCGCAGAAGCTTGCCTAGCCAGTTTCATTTCAAGAATAACAAGGAGATCATTGAGGTAGCACTAAGAGGACTAGAGGGAGGGAAGTCATAAAATGAGATCAACCAAGGGGAGCTAGATCAGAGGGGTTGGTAGGCTAAAGTGTCATCTTCAGCTTTCATCCTGAGTGTGAACTGGAACTGATAGGTGGTTTTGAGATGCTATGGTTTAGTTTTCAACATGATCACTCAAGCTGCTGTACTATGAATAAATGGTGGAGTGAAACTCTAAGTAGAGAGATGAATTAGGAAATAATTGCAACAATACAGACAAGATTTATGTCTTGGACCAGGGTGGTAGCATTTCACCTGGTGAGATGTAGTTGAATTCTGAGTATATTTTGACATGGTAGATAGATTTTATTGCTAGATTGAGTATGAAGTGAGAAAGAGAGGAGTCAAGAATGACCTCTGCATGTCTTTTGGCATGAACGTCTGAAAAGATGGCATTTCCATAACTGAGCTGGGAGAGACTGTAGAGGAAGCCGGTTTGGGGACAATAATTAAGAGCTTAGTTTTGGATATGTTAAATTTGAAATGTCCAGGCAGAAAAGTCAAGAAGATAGATATATGAAGCTAGCTTTAGAAGGGTAGTCCTGCAGGGACCTGCAATGTGATTATCAGCATCACATGTGAGGTTTAAAGCAATGTGACTGGGGTATGCCAGCCTTGAAGAATTGAGGCGATGAGGGATAAAGAACACAGAAGACTAAGAAGAAGTGCTCAGGAATGTGGAGGGAAAGGCACATGATTATTTTATCATGGAAGCCAAGGGTGGAAAATGTTTCGAAGGAGGAGAGTGAATGTAAAAATGTAAAAACCTTTTATGTAAATGGTATATCAACATATTCTACTTTTTCACTGAATATTTTTAAAGATCCATCTAAACTGCTAAGCATGCATATATTCTTATTCATCTATCTACTTGCTAGGTAGTACTCTTTGGCATGTATCCAACATGCCACTTCACCTATGTTCTCTCCTGGTATTGAATATCCAGGTTGACTTTAGTTCTTTAATATCACATAAATTCTGCAGATTCTCTTATAGGCCAGTGTGGGATTTGCTTTGTTATATACCCAGGAATGGAAGCCCTGGTTCTTAGGGTTTATATTTTAATTTGGATAAGTAATTCTAGATTGCTTTCTAGGATGGCTGCCACAGCCTACCTTACCTTTACCATACACCCCTATCAACCCTTGACATTATCTGGCTCTTGTCTTTTCAGTAGTGTAAGCTTGAGTGTAGAGTGATATTTTTTTATTTTAATTTTTGTTTCTCTGTCCTTCTGCTCTAATCTGTGTTGGTTGCTCTCTTGGTTTGTTGGTGTTTCCCTAGCCTCTCTCTATTGTGTTAGATTTTATACTTTTGGGATCTCTTATTTGCTCATTTGTTTTATTTCTTCATTTTCCTGAAGAACATCTTTCAGTAGCTTTCTAAAATAAGACACATACAACATATAACTTGAGTTCTTTCCTATGTAAAGACACCTTCATCATTCTGCCTACCACACTTTTCTATTGAATTTTTCATTACTGCCTTCATGTTTTTATTTCCAAGAGCACACTGAATGTTATTGCTCTTTTTAAAATTGTAGTTTGCTTTCTTATTTCCTAGATATATCTTCTCTTTTCTAAGGCTCCCAAAATTAGTTGTGCGTGTGTGTGTGTATGTGAATGTGTGTAACTCTTACACTCCCTGTATTATTTTCTTTCCAATTAAGTTTTTTCTTTCTTTTTTTTCCCTTGTCTTTTATAGTTGGTGCTATTTTGCAATCTTCAAATGTCTGGTAACAATCTATTCACATTGAAGAGTAAGGCTTGTTCATCTTTTCTCTCATAGGCATCCTCTATGTCTGCTGTCTCTGTGATGAAATCTATTCCTCCTAAATTCCTCCAGATTATGATCTTTCTATTCTAGAGTGGGAGGTGGGGTGGATATAGTCACTGCTCCACTTTCAGACTTTAAACCAATTCCACTATATTTAACCTCTGCCTGTCCCTCTTACCCTCACCTGATGATATCTGGCATCTCTGAGTCTGGAACCTCTCTGGGGTCCTGGGAAAAGTCATGCATCATTTATCACTCATTTATCACTTTGCACTGACAGATTATACAGTACAATGAAAATTACTTATTTGTCTGTCCGAGTTTGTGCTAGGTACTTCTGTGTTCCCACCATTTAGCTATGAGATGTTGGATAACTTCTAAGCCTTGGTTTCCTTCACTCTTGGTTTTCTTCACTCGATAGGAAGCTGCAGGAAAAGATGCTTTGATTCTTCATATAGAGCGCTGGATGGCTGCCGATGTGATATGGAATGTAAAGACCGAGGCAACTGCTGCTGGGATTTTGAAGACACCTGTGTGAAATCAAGTATGAATTCCAAGAATAAATTTATTACCATGTTGGTTGTAATATAATTAATGCATGTCCAGATGCTCACCACATACTTTGTATATTAATTTACTAGGGCTGCCATAAAAAGTATCATAAACTGGGAGGCTTAAACAGCAGTTTGCCTTACATTATGCTCTGTGAAAAGGGCAAGAGTAATAACCTGGTATGGATAAGATTTGTATTCCTTTCACTTAGTCTCAAAAAATCTTTTCTTTCTGAGTAATAGGGAATAAAGAAGTCACTCATCCAACATATCTGTCTAAGCACAGGGCTGATGTCGATTTTGGTCACTCTTCTCTAGGAGGCGTCACTAAGAAACAGCTTTAGTCCAGCCTCTTGTTGTTTTTAGCATTGAGATTAATGTAAACTACTTCATACTTAAGTACTTAGCCTGGAAGAACACCAGTGGCATGGTGGGGAGCTGATCTACCATTTTTGTCACTCTCAACTACGATGGGACCCTGACCTGCCTACATTCTTACAGACCTGACTGTTCCTGTTACTTCTGTTGTCACTAGCTCTTCCTTGCTGCCTGTCCTGAGACAAGGCTGGGCAAAGCTACTCTTGGGTGACAACAATCACTCAGCGTTAGTGGTTTTTTTTTTATCATCAGAAGCTCCTGGGTGGGAATATGACCAGCTTTCAGAGTTTCTCCAATCTCAGAGGCGTATCTACTAGGTAGACCAGAGCTGCATTGGAAAGCTGCAGTTCTTTCTGTCACCCAGGCCAAATGAGGGAAAGTGATGGATTGACCCTCATTTGTATTATGTGTTTTCATTTATTAATGCAGATAAACCAAGAATTTGACTGTATAACAATACATAGAGAAATACGTGAAATTTATATTTTTGGTATTGAATACTTAAAATAAGTTAAATGCTCATGTAATTCTACAGCTCAAATATGGACATGCAATAAATTTCGTTGTGGAGAGACCAGACTAGAATCCAGCCTTTGTTCTTGTTCAGATGACTGTTTGCAGAGGAAGGACTGCTGTGTTGACTACAAGAGTGTTTGCCAAGGTAAGCAGAGGATGTTGACCCATTTGCCTCTGTGAATTTAGTGACTCTAGAGTTGGCCTAGGCCGCAAAAATTAAAACAAGTTGGAGAATCTTCAGCGACTCCATATAGAAAAGAAGATACAATCTATTTACTGTTGGAAGAAATGTGGTTTGTGTGCTCTAGAGGAAGAGGGATGTTATAGGAAAAAAAGATAAGGCTTAAAATTCCATATTTGACTGTAAAGCAAGGTCTTTTTCAGTCCAGTGACTATGCTAGACATATGTGTGGTTTGAGACACCGGATCTTATGGTTAAAATATCATGGAAGAGGTTATTTGGCCCAAAAATCAGTTTGTTAAACCAGTGTTATTGTTGAAACAACTGTGTACTGAGTAGTTAAATTACTGATTTAGGACCCTCAAGGAGTTAGTGCCAAGCCAAGATTAGACTCCAGTTCATTCAACTCCTGATTCTAGCCACTTGCCACTTTATAAATGATGTCAAGTTTTTTAAAAAAATCACCAATCCCTTTGAACATCTGATGAGATTTACAAAAAAAAAAGCACATATATTCATAGCAACAAAATTGCTTCAAGCTATCAACCCCCTTTTCATAACACCACATGCAATTGAGCTAACTAACTAATGCTTTTAATATTTTTAGACAAAAAATATTAGGTTTAATTCTGATATTTTTAAATAAGGGGAAGATGCTATTGTAGAAACATTAACTATATAATCCCTTAATAAAAATAGGTTTTATACTAATAGTTGATAAGGTTTTATACAAAATATAACTGAAGATCAGCTAAAAAAGGCAATTGGATAGGAAAATAAAAGCCTAGAATGGTAACTCTTTTTAAATAATAATCATTTGATATTTTGATACAGTGTTTGATACAGTGAATATTGTATTATTAAAATTTTCTCTAAGTTCACAAAGGGAAGTGTGGTTTCTAGTTTGCTTATTTCTCTGTAAGTTCACTGACCTTATTGTCTCTGATTTCTATATTCTCCTGACTTTTACTCCAACTTTATTACTCTTAACTTTTTATCTCAAGACTGATCAACAGGTCATGTGGTACAATTTTCCATTGAATACAGTGCACAATATTGCGCAATTTAACAGAAACAAAAGTAATTATTATAAGCAGTGTTGAAATTTACCATTACCACTAATTGGTTACTTTGATAGAGTTAATTTAATTATTTCTATTTATTTTTTAAACAAAGGCAAATGTTTTTTTACTCTAAGGATTAACATTATATTTAAATAAGTTAAGTGATTCTTGCCAAATTATATCTTAAGACAGCTGTTTGAGGGGATTTAAATAAATTTTGCGTAAGAAACCAGCTGGTCACCTTTTATTTTAAGTTTAGAATTTTAAAAAACTTTATGATAAATTTCTAAGATGTATTAAGGAGAGAATAGTATGATGTTTTCCCCACATGTCCATCACCCAGCTTTAGCAATGATCAACTCATGGCCCATCTTGTCTCATTCTGACACACTATAATTTTCAAAAAGATAAAAACACTAACCTCATGTAAATATAAAGTGAACACATCAAAAATTTCTTAACTCATTAATGAGGTAACCAACTGAGATGTTAAATTGTCTCAAAAAGATTTGAAGAGACGAAGTATACACAAGACTGAATGAATGTTGGAATTAAATGACTGAAAATGTAACTTTTGGTGGGACAGAAATGATTTGCATTTGTACAAGACAATTTATTTGCTATTGAACAATAATCAGTTATATTGCTATTAGTTTTCTTCCAATTAATTGCTACCCTGACTGAGTCATAAAATGAATGGTAAAGAATAAGCTAGATAAAGGTATATACTACTAGGTAATTAGATAATCTGTATGTGGGCTTTTTAGATAATTCTCAGTGTGACATTGAAACGAAATTTAGTGATCAGTCTTCCTTTTGCTTATTTTCAAGTTTTGGATGTTTTTCTTAACAAAATATACTCTTTATATTCCCCCTAACCTCCCTCCTAAAATTTTAGATTATTTCAAAGCAAATCCTAGAGTTAATATCATTTATCTGTAAATATGTTTAGTATATAGCTAAAAAAGATGAGGATTCAACAAAATTATAATACCATTAATATATCTAGTTGATATATTTATGTCATATAGTTGATAATCATTTGTCATAAACTATCCATTGTGTTCAATATTTTCTGTGCGTTTCATAATATTTAAAAGATTATTTGAAGTAAGATCTAAATAGATTCCATACATAGCAACTGGCTGATATATTCCAAGTCCTTTAAAAGTAGATTCTCTCTTCCTCTTTTTTCCCTTTACAATTTACATGTTGGAGAAACGGGGTCATTTGGCAGAATTTTCCAGTTAGTTGCATCCTCTGTTATAGACAGTTTGTCATCCCTTACATCCCCTACAAATTGGTAGTTAGAACCTGATGACTGTTGTGATTCAAGTACAATTTATTTATTTTGCAAGTATCCTTCATAGATAGTGATGTTACTTCCGTCAAGAGGCACATCTTGTGGCTTGTCTCTTTTGAGGGGGTTGTTTTAGCCATTGATAATCATTGTCTAGATCCTTTAGGAGTTGCAAATGATGGCATTCATATTCTATCATTTATACTTCGTTAATTAGCTCAATGTTCCGTAAACAGAAACATGTACGGAATAAGAATTTTTTAGTTAAGATCTTAAACATTTGTTCAATCTTACCCAATTAATATCAATTATTATTATTGGTTATTTATTTTTTCCAGCATTCTTTTCTCTTTTTTAAGATAATATATCTATGTTTATTAAACTCATTTTTTCTAACAGCAGGAAAATATTGTCCTTGAGGTAAAAACATTATTTAAAAAAAAAAAAAAGAAAAGACATTGTCTTTTTCCTAAAGCTAAAGGAATTCCCTTTGTTTTTCTTGGTAAAGATGGGCTTCCTGGTATTCGGTTAGTGTAAATTACTGATCTGTACCAATCTCTAGAAGCAATGACTGCCAACACGTGAAATAGCACTTAACGTGTTCTGGAAAAATTTAGTTACTGGAGTAATACAAATTGTAGTTTGGAAAGATCATGCCCATTGAACATTTGTTTCTCTTTTATTGTCTGTGATGCAGCAGTCTAAAAATTTTGATCTTATGCTTTTCAGGAGAAACCTCCTGGGTGAAAGCCAACTGTAGCACAGCCCGGAAGTCTCAGTGTCCCGAAGGGTGAGAATGATGTGCTGAATTTTATCTTTCTTTAACAGATGGCACATAGAAATGTAATTGAGAGGCAGTATGGAATTTCTCTCATTCTATTTACATTTTAGAATGAAAGAGTTAACAGAAGATAAGATTCCTTGTGGCTCAAACTCATAAGTGACTTTTGTTTGCTGTATTGTTTACAAAGCACTTTTATACTAATTTATTATATTCATGTCTTACAAGAATGACTAAAAAATTGGTAAGTATTTATACTAACATTCTCAAAGTCCTATGATCAGGACTACAATTTACATCTAAATTACTCCAGCCAGAACTCTTTTCTGTTAACATCCTGATACCTCAGATTTGTTCTTACTGAGGAAAGGGGAAGAGATTTGTCCACTGAAGGCCTCACAATGAAATGCTGACCTTGAAGAATGGATGAGGAGGACTTTTGCAGGTGGGCATGGGTGATGAACATGTGAGGTAACACCCCTCTCATGCATCTCCTTCATATGGCTGTGATGGCTGCTCCCCCAACTGCCCAGCTCTGGAAATGTGCTCCAAATCACCTTCTAGTCAAGAGTGGATTTCCACTTTCCTCCAACTGCCCCTTCTGCCCTTCACCTACTTCACTCTGGCCCAAGCAGTGGGAAATGTTAATGAAGCAGAAGAAGAAGAAAGGAGTATCTGGCTATAGAATTGGTGGAGGCATTTTAGATAGCATTATTTCATTAAAAAAATTGTGTGTGGATAATGTGTCTGTTTTAGTACTATGCTACTTTGGTCTAACTCAATCCTCAGATCCGGTTGCCCTCTTCTGAGTGGAAGAATAACAAATTTAGAATGAAAAAGAGACTCAAGTTTGAGTCTTGGTTTTGCACTAGTCACTTCTCTGAGCTTCATCTATAAAATTGGAGTAATAATAATAATAATAATAATAATAAGTTCAGGAGATTTCATGTGAGAATTGTTGATGAAATAATGTCCAGCCTATAGACAAGTTTTATAAGTTTATTTGAGCCAAAAGTTTGAGGACATGCTCAGAAGTGAAATCTTAATGGATTGAGAAAATGCTCTGAAGAATGGCATTTTTTGCAGCTCATTTTATACATTGGAATCAAAGGAGAAGATGTGAGGAGGGTTACATGAAATCTGTTGGTGGTAGATTAAGGAGGCACTAGGTTTGGAGAGAAAGCAAACTGGAGAAACATATACTTCCTTACATTGGTGAGTATAGGATAGTTAATTAACATGTACAGTACACAGTGATGGTATACAGGGAACACGGTAATAATGAGGGGTTCTATGGTCTCATGCTCTGGTGGTGTTGTGCCTTGAAGAGATTTAGAAAAGAAAATTACTCTGACTTTTCAAAGGTATGTTATCTTATATGCATAAGAACAATGGGCTGGGTTCCCTTAAGGTGAAGATTGACCTTTGCTAAGGAAGCTATGGGCCTGGAATGTGACTACTGCTCTCTGACCTACCCAGTTAGGAATTAGTGATCAGACCATCCTGTGTGGTTACTTTTGGTCACTGAACTTGTCAGATCTTCCATATGCCCTTCTCACGTCTGCCCCCTCGCCTCTCTGTCACAGGTTGTCAGGTTTATTACATAGTCCCTTTTTTGTTAACATTTCGATCCTATAGATGATTGACCCTGTTTTTAAGCTGCAAATTTATTTTGATGATATATTTAGAAATATGACTTTCTGAAAAAATAAGTGTTTTCTTCACAAATTAAAATATATTTCTTTAATTTCTTGATGGATTTTTTTACAAATCACAATTAAAACAGTCCCAATTTTTGATTTTTTATTTTTGAGGTATAATTCGTAGACATTGAAATGCTCACACTTATGTGAACAATATAATGAAATTTAGAAATTTAGAAATTTGTGTAACCTACAGATACAGAATATTTCAAAGATATAGAATATTTTCATCACACCAGATGCTTCATGTTCTGATTTCTATCACCATACATTCCTATTTTAAAATTTCGTAGAAATGGAATCATACTACATGTTCTCTTATGGGTTTTTTTTTTTTTTTTTTTTTTTTTTTTTTGTTACTTTGTTTGTTTGTTTTGTTGTGTTGTTTTGTGGGGTTTTTCCATTTTATTTTTTTTCTTAACCCAATATTTTCTGTTGTATCATACCTCTCGCATGAGCTTTTGTACAATGTATTTTCTTTCCCTGATTAAAACATTAGCTCCCTGCTCTTTCATATTATTTCTTTTTGTTCTTTAGGGCTCAGTTCACATATCATCCCCCCAGGGAGAGCCTACTCTCACCTTACAAAGATTGAATCTGACATCTTCCTATGTACTGGAATAGTACCCTGTACTCAAATCCAGCCCTTAACCTCTCTTGTTTATTTACTTAGCAAGTTCAAACCCTAGATGTGAAGTGTAATTTCTTTGTGCCTTTATTCTTAGTGTAAATGAATTATTTTACAATAAATTCATATTCTAAAAAGGCAAATAGACTTGTTCTCCAGATTCTCCTCACCATTTCTTTCATGATGTATAATTAGATGGCTACACTGATATTTTTTTCTAGCTTTGCTCAAGCGCATTAAAAAAAATCTAAAATTATTTTTCTTTCTTTAGCTGGTATCAGCATTTAGAATTTTCTTTATCATAATATTGGGTATTTGTCAGAATATTTAAAGACTTATTCTAACCAAATTTCTTGGAAAAGTATGTTTTGTTAAAAAATTTCAAATTCTGAGCACAGAGTTGAAAATAATTTCTTTTACATACTCACTTGCATGCACTATATTTGGAACTTTAAACAAGTTTACTTTGTCTATAATTGCTATTTATAATAACTGGAAAGTACTTAAACTGGAAAGTACTTAAATGCCTGTCAATAGTAGAATGAATAAGCCTTTTATTCATTTGCTGAAATACTAGACAGCTATGAGAATGAATAATCAACAACTACATGCAACAGTATGGATAAACTTCAAATATAATGTTACGTAAAAGAAGCCAGACACAACAAAATACATACTATATATATATATTTTTTGGCATCTAAGTATAAAAATAGGCAGAACTAATCTATGTTGTTGGAATACTGATTGCCCTTCATTGGGCTGTGGTTTGCTATAGAAGGGAGCACAAAGGGAGGATTCTAGTGTTTGGCAATATTCTGTTTCTTTTTGTAGGTGATGCTTACGCAGTGGAGTTCATTTAGGAAAAATTTATGAAACTATGTGTGTGTGTGTGTGTGTGTGTGTGTATGTAAAATACGAGTAAAATTTTACAAGTGAACAAAATATTAAATAAAAAAATGACTGTCTCTGGCTATAACCCAAAAGTTAATCTTTTCTCATTTTAACTTAAATACTTGTCTACGAAGAGATTGTAATGCTTTTGAGGTTAATATTAATATTCTGAGATATTAGAATAAAGTAAAAAATGTAGAACTTTAGAATAATAAAACACCTCATAAACTACAGAGATCCTAAATTCCATATCATAATTATATCCAAAAGATTTGTAGAATAATTGCAACTTTTCTAATTTTTGAGTTCATGCATTTATTTCAGTAATCATTGCTTTCTTCAGGATCATGAAAGATCTGCAATATAGAACCCCATTTCTGGTGGTGTTTTGTTAGTGCTTTGCTTGCATGCTGCTAATCTCTCTTGTAAGACTACATTTAATTAGCTCCATGTGTACCTACCACTGTTAAATGCTAAATTTAATTGAGATGACACAATGATATTAATGTGCTATTTGTAATGATTCTAAAGTATTGGGTGAGTGGGTCAGGATCAAGTTTTGAGAGGTTGAGTGACTGCTTAGGGTTAAATAAATGGTAAAGAACGAAGCTGAGAATTGGACTTAAGCCTTTTTGAGGTCAAAAACCTTCCCTTTTCTCCAGAGTACACTGCTTTGTCATTATAAACTCTCAGGGCTAGAGAAATTTCATACACACTATAACTGGGTGTCATAGATAGCTAATGTCAAGGAGTAAATGAAAATAAAGTAGGTTAGCCAAAACTTTTTAAACTCTAGAACTCAAAGGGTAGTAGATCTCAAAGTTAAAAGACCCAGATAATTTATGTAATACTTTTAAAAAGGAATATGTCCATTTTTATTAGCTTACTAAAATATTAGAAGTACTGATTGTTAAGAAAGATAACGATTTTAAAAAATAGAAAGGAAAACTTGACCTAAAACTACTTTCTTACTGTACTTTCTAAGCATTTTCTAATTTAGAGAATTGTAAATAGTACAGAAAGGTATCTTTCGGTTTTTTTACAATCAAAATAATGAACAAATTTTTTACTTTCTGTTTTTAGATTTGACCTGCCACCAGTTATTTTGTTTTCCATGGATGGATTTAGAGCTGAATATTTACAGACATGGAGCACTCTAATGCCCAATATTGATAAAATGAGTAAGTCTTCGACAACTGAAGGCATGCAAATGATAAGACACCTGGTTAGTCAGTCTCTAGATGGCACATCTCTCTTTCTGACCTTTAATATCCTGATGATGTTGATATGGGATATCTATTTTCGTTCTTGTTGGTTCCTCTTTCCTTTTTTGAATGTTCATTTTTTTTTTTTTTTGGCCTATTTTGATTTGTCTTGTGTTTGAATATACCTTCTGCTCTATGGAAATCCATTCACATATATTGGCTCAAAAGTGGTGTTTGTCAGACCTGAGTCTTATCAAGGTGGATATGACCATCAAGGGCAGGAAGATCCTGAAGGAAACTGAGTAGAGCCAGCAAACATCAATGCCTGGAACCTGGCTCTACCATTTACAAGCCGTGAGACTATGGGCAAGTTTGTTTTACCTGTTTGTGCCCTCGTCTCTTCATTTGTAAAATGCTCACTTCCTATGTGATAGGAATATTGTGAGAATATATATGTAGTATGCATTGAATGATTTTAAGTTATTACTATAGTTATTATTATTATCACCTTTATCATGTTGTACTTCTGTGTTAGGACACTGGCCTCCATACAATTTTATAAAGTTAATAATAAAGAGAAATTGAGTACCAAGGACACAGCTAAAAAGTATCAGAGGGTCAGTTCAGGGTCTACACCCTTCACTGCCCTCCAATTCCCGTCTTTCTTCCCCCTTCTAGCAGGTCCTCTTTTACCTCCAAGGTCCTCAAGGTTTATGACAATTTTACTGGTTTCCTGTTTTTATTTTACTCTAAATTATTTTTAAAAATAGCTGTTTGATCCTGAATAAGTCAATCATCTTTTCTGACCTTCAATTTTCTTACTAGGTATAGGTCTCTTCAGATTTTCTTTTTCTTTATGATGCAATTTTGGTAAGTTGTTTCTAAAAATTTATCCTTTTTCTTCTGGGTTTTCCGGTTCGTGAAGTATAAGCGTTCATAATAGTCTCTTATAATCCTTTTTTATTTCTGCGATATTGGTTGTAATGTCTCCTCTTTCATTTCTGATTTTATCGAGAAAATAAAGTTTATTTTATAAAATTTTATATTTTATTTTATAATTGTTTTAATAAATGTATTTAATTTGTTGTTAATTTTTTGGTTGATTTTAATTTTATTGGCTTTTTTGAAACAAAATTGTTTTCTAGTCTCTATTTTATTTATTTTTGCCATGGTCTTTATTGTTTTTTCCTGCTAACTTTTGGTGTTGTTTGTCCTTTTTCTAGTTTTTTAAGGTGCAAAGTTATTTGAAATTTATTCTGTTTTAATGTAGGTGTTTATCACAATAAACTTCCTTCCTACTTTTTTTGCTGCATCTGTGGAGTTTTCATTTCTTTCATCTACTCATCTATTTAGACATCTATTATAGTCTTCTGTTCTTTTTTGTTTATAGTTACTATGGATATCTGTTATTTACATTTTCAGATTTTTTTGGTTTGTACTTAAAAAATGTTTTCTTAGAGAGTAAAATATACAAATAATAAACTTTTAAAAATGCATTAAAGGGTGTATAGTAAAAACCAATCAACCAACCAACCAACTAAGAACAACAACAAAAAAACCCTCTTTTTTTCTGATCTTCCTAGTTTTTCTCTGCAGAAGCAACTACTCTCTTGGATTTATTGTGTATCCTTCCAGAATTATTCTATTCAGTCATAATTTAGATGTCTAAGATCTGGAAGAAACAATGATAAAAGGTCTTGTTTTCTGTGAGTTGTTTTACAATAGCTCTGATCTAAAATGGTCATCCCAGTCTGCAGATAGTCAGCAGGTGTGTCTTGTTTAAGACATTTTAACTAGAGAGGTGCCATGTTTTCATGTTGTTGGTAGCTTAGTTAGTATTTTATACTCTGTGCCTTCAGGCGTTTCAGAATTTGGGTCACCCATGTTTCAAGGAAATAAAAGCAGAAACTGACTTTATGTCTCTATTTATTGTATGATATTTTTTTTCCTGCTTAAATTCTTTTAATTATATAACTGGAGTAGATTTCATTTTATTTCTGTATCATATGATTTATTAACAATATTAGATTTGCCTTTCCCTGATTGAAGACAAGATTATTTATTAGCAGTTTTGACTAGAAAAAGAGGGAAAAGATATTTAAATCTTTAGTTATACCCTATTAGTCAGGTCCTAGAGCAGGCCTCAAACTTAAGCACATCAGAACCATTTGGGGTGCTTATTAAAAATGTAGATTTTTTTTTGAGTTCCCTTTTCTTCACCTTCCACCCAACCCGTCATCCCTACCAGGGTCCTATTTAACAGGCTTGATATGGGGCTCAACAGATTCTGAAGGAGGAAATTCCTGGATCATATTGCAAACACTGAACTAGAGGCTGGGAAGGAGTCTAATTTCAAGCCTATTTGAGAAAACATTTATTATTTCAAGCTGTAAAATTTGTTATTTTCTGGACAACAATCATTTTCACTTTTTGTTTTAACCTAACTATAACCTGTAATGGTGAAGCTTTCTTTTAGAATTAGAGTCTACAGGATTTCAACATGAAAAATTTCTTGTGCTTCACTGCTGCAGAGGAAGCAGCAATACTCTGATGGTTCCGATCTCCTCAAGCAGGGTTATTGCACAGACCATGCAGCAGAACAATTGGGAGCAAAATTAATAATATGCTTTGTGGAAAACAGATTACAAGAAACTTCACTGATCAAATGGAAACTTTGCTGAAAATAATAAGCAGCAAACTTAGCTCATTTGTAAGCATTATTAAGTGGCATGGGCTTATGCAATTATACAAGTCAAATTCCTTTTTAGTTACCTAGTAGTTGTGTTGACTTCTGTTATGTCAGATACTTTACATGTAAGAACTATATGCTAAGATGCAAATGTTATATAAAAATTTTAATGTAATGAAATGAGTCAGAAAGAGGGGAGCAACAAAAGCAAATAAAGCTGGTAGTGTATAATTTAGGATATGTTTAGCTCAGGGGTTAGCAAACTGTGGCCCATGGGCCAAATCCAGCCTACCCCACCTGTTTTTTGTATGGCCTGCTAAATACTAAGAGTTGTTTTACATTCTTAAATGATTAGGGGGGGGGGAAAAAAGAAAATAATTTATGACACGTACAAATTACATGAAATTCAAATTTCAATATCCATAGAGAAAGTTTTATTGGAATGCAGCCATGCTTATTTGTTTATGTAATGTCTAGGGATGCTTGTGGGCCTTGATTGCAGAGTTTGAGCTGTTGCAACAGAGATCACAGGGACTTGCAAAGCCTGACATATTTATTGTCTTTCCATCTTCAATCAACTCTTTAGCAACTGACTATACCACCAGATATGCTTTAGCTTTCTATTTCTCTGAGGAAATTTTATGTTCAGATTTTTAGTTATCCAAAAAACTTCTGAGGAAGTAATAACTTCTTAATTTCTCACTATACTTTGTTGCAGAAACATGTGGAATTCATTCAAAATATCTGCGATCTGTCTATCCAACCAAGACCTTTCCAAATCATTATACCATTGTCACGGTAAGTGCTTGGCCCAGTGGAAGACTGATAGGCCACAGAGAGGCAACTGATTATACCACTAGATATGCTTAGGCAGGAACTGGCCAAGCCCTATGTTATACATTTCACAAGCATATGTGGTGATAGTTCATAGCTCAATTCAGGCTAGGAGGTCTCAATCTGAGGCCAGTCCAGTACTATGAGGTATTAACTATAAATGAGTGTTCAGGCATTAGGTTAATTCACCTTTGTGATAGGCCAGGTAGCCTCTTGGGTGTGAGAAATACAATTCTCCTCTGATATTTTGACTAGTCACTACTTATCCAAAGTTCACTGGGAATGGTAGGCTATGAATGAGGACGGCCACTTTGATGTGGGGATATTTAACTTGATAAAATCTTAGTTTTATAAAGGAATCGACACTGGCTATATCTCTTTAGAAAAAGCAAGTAAAACAAGTAAATTCTCCTCAATGTATAAAAAGACATAAGTGAAATGATCAAAATGAATTAAAAAAAAATTATTTAACTTGTAATAATTGAGAACACTTCTTAAGGAGGCCTCTGTCTCGGTCTTTATTGCCAAAGCCATTATTGTACCTTTACTACTTTGCATTTAGTCTTTAATTACTGTGGAACAATAACTATAACATCTAAATTTTAACCCTTTAGTAATTATATATGTATATGTGTGTGTATATATATATATGTATATGTGTGTGTATATATATATATACACACACACATATACATGCATGTATTTGCAAATTCTATATTGCAAATTCACCTACTTGCTAAAATTTATTTGTAACCCCAAAATCAATACTTGTGATGTATTTCTAGTTATCTGAGAACATTCTTAGAGCAGCAAAAAATTCGAGTTGCCCTGCTCACACATTCCCCACGGAAGTCTAACAAGGCAATACTCTGCTTTCTTGTTTCAACTCTCAAACTCTAAATGTTGTTTTCATAGTCTATTGTCTCTTTAGTGCCACGTTTTTTGCATGTTTGTGCCTTTTATTAGTGATTTTTCTTTTTAAAATGGCCTTCGAGTGTAGTGCCGAAATGTTGTCTAGGGTTCCCAAGCGCAAGAAGGCTGTGATGTGTCTTATAGAGAAAATATGTGTGTTAGATAAACTGTTCAGGCATGAGTTATTGTAAACCAAAAATATATATTAAATAATGTATCTTTAAACAGAAATATACATTAAAAAGATTTTGTATTGATCAGTAGACAAAAAATGTTGTGAAGCTCACGGAGACCTAACCCTACAGACTCCTTAAGAGCAATGGTACAGTATTTATTGTTGGCAACAACTTTATAGAACATAACTACCATGAATAACAAGAACTGACTATATGTATAATATATATATGTGAATATATACATGCAAACAAAAATATACATATATAAGATTTAATATAGATATATGTGTATAAATATAAGTAAAGGATTATATATAAGTGCTATTGATTTACTGAATATGTGTGTATATACTCATGTTCATATATATAGTAATGTTCTGAAATACTAACCATAAAATTTGCCTAAAAGTTACTACAGTTGCATGGGATATCATCATAGGCATTCAATGCACACGTGGAATGATTGAATGAATATTTGTGATTGTATTGAAGGGATGATTGGATTGATGGATGGATGGAAGGGAGAGTGGATGGAGACTCCATTATAAAGTGCTGGTAGCACTTTAACCCATTTAGCCCATTAATGCTTAAAAGCTTCTATGCAATAAATTTCTTGCTATTCTTGCCAACCTAACCAGTAGCTACTCATTATTGTAATAGGGGAAACTGCTATTAACAAATAGTTATTAATCACACAAGAGTTATGTTAACACCATCAACACAAAACATCTGCCTAATATCATTCATTTGCTGTTATAGGCAAATATACTGGAATATACTTTTTATATATCGATATTTGGGTTCAGATTCAGGGGTTTTATATGGAAAAGTATATGACATCCTTCCAACATATGCATTATAGATCTTATACTATTTCAATTTAAATATATGTTTTATTAATATATTGTTTAATCTTAAATCTTTTTTTTTGCAATTATAATTTTAGGGCTTATATCCGGAATCACATGGCATCATTGACAATAATATGTACGATGTAAACCTCAACAAGAATTTTTCACTTTCTTCAAAGGAGAAAAATAATCCAGCTTGGTGGCAAGGGCAACCAGTATGTCGTGGTATATGTGTGGCAGCTAAGTAATCTCCATTTCCCACTGTGACAGTGGATCTCTCTTCTCACTCCACTTTGAGTTTTACATTATCTTTCTAATTTCTAAGGACTGGGGGTGGGAAGGTGTTTCACAACTATTTATAATTATAATTTAAATCCTTTAAACATTTGTGATAGTTAATCTAAATGACCTTCTGTTGAAACTTGGATGTTGTATTATAAACATATCAATCTGGAAGTTACTTGGAAAGATTATTTGCTCATTTTTTTTCCTCATTCTGTTTTATAATTCTTTAAAAGGGAAAGAAGAACTGTACAATTTTACCAATTTGAAAAAATGCCCTTACTATTTTACTACATTTTTTATTTTTCAAGTGGATCCCTGGATAATTACATTTTTAAACTGCTACAAAGATACATTTTTAATAATTTAAATACATTTTAATAATGAAATAAACTTTGCAACTGTTAAGATTGTTCAGTTTCTAGTAAGTGGCACTATTTCTACCCAAACTGATTATTCTCTTGACTTCCACTTAACTTTTCTCTTCTTTTAGGTCTGGCTGACAGCAATGTATCAAGGCTTAAAAGCTGGTACCTACTTTTGGCCAGGATCGGATGTGGCTATAAATGGTTCTTTTCCTACCATATATGTGCCTTACAAAAGGTAGTCAAGCACTTGCAGATATGACCCTATCTCAG